TTGCAAATTACGATCAGTATGCATATCTAAGCAAACTATTCAAATGCTACAATGCCCTGGCTGAAGTTATCACTCAGAGCGGTAGCTGTTGTATTGATCAGAATTGTTCTGACCGACTGAGGCACCCAAGTGTGTCCCCATCTGGAACGAGTGTCGAGTTAAGGCATGAGCTGGCTCACAGGGCGTTTCTCCTTTGGAGATCCCGTGGTTCACCTAGAGGGTTCTGCTTGCTATTTTGGTGAGATGGACTCGTCTTTCTTTTGACTACGCGCTGAGGAAGTGTGGAAGGGAACAGCACAAAAAAGGCTATTAAACTATCCATTGCTTTCTTGCACCAGGAGCGCACTCGCCCCTGGACTCTGGTAGAGCAACAGCTGGGTGACAATATTCTTCTGCCCAGCTTTGGTGAAATTGATTGTGCCTTTGTCTTCCACGGGGGAGAGCTTGAACTGTTGGTACGAAGGGGTGAAGCATTTGCCATATCCAGGGATATTTGGTTCAACCCAAAATACTGTATGCATGCTTTTCAATCCTCAAAAGCGATATACAGCGTCACACTTGTCTAACTCCAAGTTCCCAAATGCCATTCATAATGGTTACAAACTTGTGCGGGTGGAGGAGTTTGAATACATGGGACATCATCAATGCCAAGGTGACTTTGAAATAGTCCCCCAGTTCACTTTTTGCCATTTTTTCGCGCGTGTAACTCAGGAACCAGAGGGGTTTGGGTTTTAACAAGCGCCCGGGTGACCGGCTGGATACCATTTGCTCGGTGGGGGGTCAATTTGACCCCTGAGATCTCAGGAACTACCAAATTCACAGGTTGTATTGGCCTGTACGTGAAATCACGTAGGTCAAAGTTTGAGGTCTCTAGGCCTTCAATTGCCTAGAGCAATGTAAATTGTGGCGCGGCTACGTCGTGCCGTTCGGAAAACCATTCTGGAGAGACGTTTGGGGGTCAATTTGACCTCCACCCGAAGCGCGTGTTAAAAGGGTATTGCCGTAAACTGCATCAAGAGGTCCTCAAGATGGTTATTTCAGCTCAAATCCGCATACAAAGATGGAACACTCCCTTTAGCTATCACATCAATTCGGGACCCTACGACCATGAGTAATTTCCGACGCGCACAGTATATCAGCCGCACCAATGGTGACCGTGTATGCTCTCACTATCTCCGGGCTTGAAGGCGCAAGACCGCTGTTGTCTGTATCGGTGATCGTTGTGTTGTGAGCGTTGGTGCGCGTAAGTGTCCAGAAAATAGAATCCGTGTTTGACAAGATCCCTCTTTGGCGGACTCGCAAGAAGTACTGACACGAGCGAGGTTTTCACGGGTATAAGTATCACGCAGGCAGCCAAAAACCTGCTGCAAATGCATCGCCGTTATAAAACGTCATACTTTTCAGGTTTCCAAAAAATATCTTCCGCAACGATATTTTGTTCAAGCAAATATCTATCTCATGGCCGATCACAATGGCTCTAATAGCCCGATAGCGATTTTTTTTGCACAGGAAACATGTTCGAACTTGTAGTCCGCTGAAGGTAAACAACTTTTGAATCTTCTGGCAGGGGTGCTCCTTGTCGTCTCGCGCATGGGATACAGTGCGAGACCCCGTTTGTAAAAAATATCGTTGGTCACAGTCAAGACTCCAACGAGGTAAAACCGTCCGGTCTGAAAAAGTGGCAGTATAGAGCTTGCGTGAAAATGGAGGTAGTTTGGAAAGAAAGCAGGCATGGCTTCATGTACACCATGTTTGATGACATCAGTGGAGAGGCAACTGCTCATTTAGTCAGCTTGCTGCTACATAACCCATGAGTTTGAATGGTGGGTATGCTTTTATTGTAGTTATTTTGAGTATAAAATTAAATCTAACAATATACACGCTGAGCTATATAAATGCTAGCAATTATTAAATAAGAGATGGACAAGAAATCCCTAAGACAAGCCGTTGTAGTGTGCAACCAGCTATGAAACACCCAGAAACCGTGATAGGCAATGTGCTACAAACGCTGCATGACATATAACTCCGAGTTAGGTACACCCCCATGAAAACACTTAAAATACTGATCAGCCTTAACTGTTCCTAGGTTCAATCACCCTTCCAGAAAAGCGTTTGCATGCCAAAACCGTGGGCCATTTATTCCAACCAGTTTGTTCATAGTCTAACCGGGAACCACCACCCGCACGCCATCAAAAACATACCCACCACGCAAATTAATGGCCAGTACAGTCAGTCGGCTGACTAAATGAGCGGTTTTCTTTCCACTGATGTCATCGAACATGGTGTCCGTGACGTCAGGCGGGCTTTGCGTCCAGACTTCTTTTTCTCTCACGCAGTTCGATGTTGCCACTTTTTGATAGTGTTAAAAGATACGGATGACACCCCTCTGGTCACAACTAGTTTTAGCCAGTGTGTAGCCCTGGTCGCAGTGCTATGCTACCCTTCGTTTCTTGTCTCGCACGGATGTTGATTTGTATTCTTTTGCGAGGGCCCTACACCCGCCCCACAATGTTGACTTGCCCCCCCCCCCCCCACGAATGTTGGCTTGCGCCTCGAATATTTTTGGCTGGAATATTGAAAAGACGTATAAAGGAGCTGACCATTACACAAATAGGATCTTATTCGACCTTTTCTCATAGTGGCGTCGGTATGGGGGGTGCAGCTGGGACAGCTTCAAGCCACATCCTCAATGGCGCGTCCTTAACTGAAGGACAACTTCACACTTTGTGGCAGCTCATTTTATAATGACCTTTTTTGTCCGTCAAATGTAAGCCCAGACGTTTTTTTTCCCGCAGCAAAACGTGATATTGAAGCCACTGATCCTTGGCTGCAGGATCACATAAGACGACCAATTTGGTTAGCACTTTTTACTTTTGTGCGGCATCGATAGTGCAGATAATGGGTCGAGTTCAGTTACAAAATGCAAAAGCATACAGCGAACAACAATTTTGCCCGAACAGATTTTTAAACTGATTCCTTGATGAACACACTTTATTGTTAGCACTTAAAGTACCATCCCACCATTCATCCATTGTGATACATCTTCAACACATTTCTTTTGCCTCGGTCCCTTATTGAAATAGCACAAGCGGATCTTTACCGCGCCATGCGACTACACGATTCGGCTGTTCTGCAACCAGGGTGATACTAACAAGCCAACGGCTAATGGCCCTCGTTGGCGAGCCATATATGACCACTTATTCTTGAGGGCAAACCTACCACTACCCGTTTCGCCACGTTGCGATTGTGGTCAATATAACATCAACGCTGTACCGAGGTTGGGCTTCCGTCATGACAAGCGATGTCTCTGCGTGGCAATATACGTTCCATTTGCGAGCATTTTACTCATTGCAGCCAACGGGCTCGTTGAGAAACAATGCCTGTAGATTGCTTCTTCACTAGCTATTCCCGTCAAACGATATCACGTGCTTCATAAAGCGTAGCTACGCATAGTTAAACTCGGGTAAATACACCACACTAGTAGCAGTGCTATAGCAGAGCAGTGCTATCGTTTTTGACAGCCTCACACCTTTCGGGACAATATTTGAAGAAAGTTTCAGTTAAGTCTGGAATCGTGGGGTGAATGTGCTTTTAAGTGGGCATACAGCTACCTTGGTCTACCATTTCAGGGGATCTAGCAATTTGGGATTAACTCGGACTTTCAAATTGCACGGATTTCAGATGCATCGCTATGTGCAGCAGATAATTTCACCATTCAATAATGCGTAATCTTACGCATTTAAATCAATCACATTTTGTGGGCTCACCCATTTATGACTGCAATACCCTCTTGAATAATTAGCCCACAAGAACCTGAAATGGCTCACATGACATGACATTCATTCATTCGATAGGAATTTACGCGCAGCTCAAGCAGTGCAACAACAATTTGATAAGAACGCATGTGGCGGTCCTATCCGTGGCACATACATTCTCTACGCTAATGTTACAGCGGGCTTCTTCTCGCCGTTGTGTTTACTACGCATTGTTATGCATCCAGTGTGGGTGGTTTGCTTTCAGCCTGAATCCCACACAACTGTAAGTCAATTTGAATTGTTTATTATGAGCTGTTAAACATAATTGAGTGTTGTAAACTATTGTTAGTGACGATTATGTTGTTGATTACAACTGTTGTTGTTATGACACGGCTAGATTTAAAAATGTGTCACGACGTTAAATTCAGACCAAAATTTTCCTTCATCCCTCGGGATTCACGCAAAAATCGTAGCTTAAAAAGAGCGGCATTTTACATGGCAGGCACTAAAAACTAAATCCAAGGACAAAACATGAAATTGAGGTAGATGGTGTAATTTGGCCGAATGGCTGACCCCCAAATCCCATAAATGGATCCGTTAATGTGGTCACATGTTTACCGCACCACAGAAAGGAAACATCTACGCTTGCCGTGCAGGGCAGTGCACATAACGACACTTCACCACCCCTATCATTGTGATATAAAGTCGTGTTTGCTCACCACCAGATAACATGGCATAGTTGAACGGATAAGCGATGCAATACATTTCATAAAACTTGGGCCATAAAACACGCAAAGGTCCGAGAGGTTAAAATGAAAAGCTCAGGAGCACACTATTGACCAAGACATTGCACAGTTAGCCCAGCTCCCGTCCCAAGCAACCAAAAATGCATGCCACCGCGCGCGACCGCCATAAAAGCGTGCGTTCGGCGCTCTAGGGCGAAAGGGGCACGTGCCTCTAGTGCTCCCCCTCTCAGGATCCGTTCCTGTAGGACTGATATGAGGCTTGAATTAAAGACAATTTTTTCAATGATACAAAAATTACCATATGAATTGCCTTTGGCCTAGAACAACATGGGTTAAGTCCGTTGAAAAATAAGGTGGGGGACGGGGACGGAAGATCGTCCAAACTTCGGTTAGGTCCCCCAATCATACTGACATCCCTGCTGTTTCGTATCGTTCGTCAGCGTATTGTGAGAGAAAGCATATACGCATGATAAGTGCATCACTATATTGCAGCCTTTAATATGTGAACGTTTGGTATGCATTGCATGTTAGCATCTCGCAAATCATTATACACACCCGCATAGAAACCATCGGTACTTCAACTTGACACCATATATTTATACGAAACGATATATGCAGTCCCCCCACAGACCTACATTTAATACATACATTGCCAGGCACGGATCATCTGCTTATCTTCAAAAGCATCTCAATTGCGCCTGGGCGCAAACAGCGTTGGAACAGATGTGACCACGACACACCAAACGGGAAGCACTCTCGTTGCGTCTCACAGGTGCGACGTGAACAGCTACACTAGGTGGGCGGTCTCGATTTGGTCCCTCGAGTCTGCTGATCACACCGCAGGCGACAAGGTATCATGCGGCTGGAAGATAACGGGGGCATTGGAACACTGTGGACTTCACTGGCCGCACGGCAGGCGTCGGGACGCGGGTGGCAGGGACTTACAAGGACATGCGCTACATTAAACAGCTAAGATTCCACGGAACAACTGCGACGAAAAATGTTTTTTCATCACATCTGTCACCGTTTACACCTGAAAACTTCCAGCAAAGTAAGAAGTAAAGATCCAGTGCTGCGAACATGAGGCTGCCAACTTAAACCAACGGCTCCGCCTACCCTGGGAGGACGGGACAAAATACGACAGAGGAGTCAATGCGGACAGCCTTGACATGCGAGGCAAGAGCCACAATCCAGACATTCAGCTTCCTGAGATTGTCCATCACACTGGTCAGTCTCGTTTGTGAATCGATTCGGCGGAATACGGTGGCGAAGCTCGTCCGATGGGTCGGAGTCGCTTTTGGCTGGCAGCCAACATCACCTCTAATAACAAACATTCATCGCATGTATTCTAAGCTTCCATTGCGCGCTGTTCACATGCGTGCGTGTAGTGTTCCCATGAATACAGACACAAGAGCTTCATGAGCCGATTTATCTTAGATCGGGTACGTTACACAGGGCCTACTGTAAGGAAACGTCAAAACTTCTTATCCCTAGTTGCTATATTTACACAAGTCGCCAATCGGCGAGAAAAGATCAGCTTTATGCACACAAAAACATGGCAGAGCTGAGATTTGCCCCGTCCTCAAAACCATTTAATAGCGAGCAAACACGATGTTCAGCCTAGGCACCACTTCCACCTAAAATATCCTTGCAAATGGTTTGGAACTAAGGTCAAAGAAAACATGGTGCGTCGCGTACGGCCCCAGCAGCCATGATGAGGTAAAAGGGTGCACAGACATGGCACCTGGATAAAAGACCAAATGCTGTCCATGAACGGCCCTTATTCGCCCACAATGGATGGCAGCAAGGAGAGTTCATGGAATCAGCATAGAAGTTCAGCCTAAACTGGTATCAATTATAAACCCAAATCATGACACAAGGGACGAACTAAAAAGCGGCCATAATTGTATCTTGATGCAACCTTTACAACAAAAAAAGAACAGGCACAGACGATTTGCAAACCGATGCGCAACGTTCTCTACTTGACGCAAATGACGCCATTCGGCCATTAACTCGGCGGTAGGGCGGCCTTGTTGAACGTTCCTAACCGGTTTCATAATGATCAAACTCCAACAATTTACGAATAGTAAATCCAGTAACTACCAGGGTACAGGGCTACGTAGTGCCGGAAACGACCATCAGCTGGCGCCAGGCCGTGTTTGTGCTGGCGTAGGTAGCACCTTCAACAGCGTCCCGACCACTGTACCCACTCGACTACCGCAGTCTACAGGCCAATGCCTCAGTGCTGTAGCTATGTTCCCCTATTGGACAATACGCATGCGCGCCTGTCGTTAGAGCCGAGTTATTTCAACTTCTGGCTCTTGCCCTGCAGTGACCACGGCCCTGTCAATAAGGGCGTCACTCTCAAACTCAGGTGGCACAGTCCCAGCCTTGTCGACCAGCTCGTCTAACTCCGCCGAATCGCCGCTGAAGCTGAAGAGCACGCGGCTAGGTGACGTCACGGACGGCACGTCAGAGAACGCCTCCTGCTCAGCCAGGGGCGGCAGAGAATGTTGCTCCAGCGCCTCCAGGGACGAGATGCCGGCCTGCTCCAGCATCTGGCGGAACTGGGACCTTGGTTCGGCCGCCAGCTGCGCTGGAGGGCCCATCTCGGCGATCTGAAACCCGTTGGGACGCCATAAAACCAGTTTGAAACGCAAAAAAACCTTCGACTCCACCTAGAAGTCCAACAAAATTACCCGGTGGTTCACCAGGATCTCCAATGTGCCCTTCCCGCGTCCCTTTCCTATCCGTTCTCCGCAACCTTCTCACGCGTAAGTTCGGTGATCCTCCTATGATCTGTTCGTGAACCGTTCCTTGTTCTGTTAGTCAACCGTTGCCTGCTTCTGTCCGCCAATCCCTACACCTCGCAGTGATACTATACTAAGCTGTCACCAGCCTTTTCCGCACCCTGCTCAGTGACCTGACCATGTAGCGTTTACCCTGACCGTGATACTGATCGCTGGTTCTCTCCTGATCCCACCCGATGCCAAACCCCAACCCTGTCTAACGACGCTTGACTCACCCTGCCGGCATCCATGACCACGATGGTGCCATATCCGAGCACTGTGTTGAGCCGGTGCGCGATGGTGACCACTGTGGCGTCCTGGAAGTCCTCGTGAATGGTCCGCTGGATCAGGAAGTCGGTCTGCACGTCCACGGACGCGGTGGCCTCATCCAGCAGCAGGATGCGGTTCTGGCGGAGCAGCTGCGCGGCCCAGGCACACCAGCTGTTTCTCGCCGACGCTGAAGCTGTCTCCGTCGGACGTCACCGGCGTCATCAGCTGCAGTGGCAGGCGTGCCACCTTGGCTTTGAGGCCGGCGCGTTCCAGCACCAGCCAGAGCCGCGCGTCGTCGTGCGCCTCGAACGGGTCCAGATTCTGGCTGTGGATTGACGGCGAGATAGAATGTATAGTCAAGTATAGGCCGAGGGTATGGCAGCCCAACAAGCAAATGGCGTAGGAGAATCCCAGCGTAAAGTCTTGTGCAGGCAGAGGGTATGGCGGTCCAACAAGCACATGGCGTAGGGGGAGAATCCCAGCGAAGATGGTGCTACTCCCTAGGAAATTTGCCTACAGATCGGTGCCACACGGGCAACCAGTATTTGTTGGACAATGATTTTTTCCAGTCTGTTCCTGTACTTGTTTGCAAAAGATACATCGAAATGAAGCGGCAAGAGCAAGTCGCATTGCGAAGGACTTCCATCACAAGTACCCATAGCGGGACACGTTTCTTGCACGCGAGCAGCAGTTCTGCGTCTCTGCTGTTGCACCTACCGGATGGTGCCGGTGAAGAGCACCGGGTCCTGAGGGATCACGGCTATCCGCGAGCGCAGCTGCCGGAGGCCGATCTTGCTGATGTCGACGTTGTCGATGATGACGCGCCCCGTCTCAAGGTCCATCAGCCGCAAGAGGGTCGAGATCAAGGTGGACTTGCCTGGAACCCGTAATCATAGCGAGTGCCCGACATATAATGTGGCTCGTGACTCGTGAGAAAAGTGCCTGGATCATACAGTTCATGGGGGTATTGCACAAGGAATGGCTACAGGTCGTACGAACAGAGTATAATGTGTACCTTAACACTGCAATACGAGACAATTAACACAACTGTCCTAAAATGAGCCTACTTTTGCGCGCAATACATTCTACCACATCAACAGCTCAAAAGCAATAGAAGGCCAGCCTGAATTAGAGCCTAATGTGAAAGATAGCAGTTGCAATCACCGATGCAAGTATGCCATACAGGGGGGGGGGGGGGGGTTCGTTACTCTTGGTATCATCATCAGGACAGGAAATACATTCTCACACGTCGTACAAAGGAGTGAACATTCAAAAAAGATCGTTAGGTTACATCGCAGTATTGCTGTGTATGCCAAAAATTTCTGCTTCTATTGACGATTCGAGGATTTTCTATTAGTAAAATGAGCCTGAACAAAACCTGCGCGGTCGTGTATGCACCATGGAACGGTCCAGGAATGCACTTGATGCATCTCCATGCGCTTTGAATTGTGCGATGAATCAGTGAAATATTTGAGAGCAAATTTAGAGGCGATCGTTGGTGTGCCGAACGACAATACTGTTGATAAGAACTCCTAAGTGTGTTGACACATTCAAAAGATAATCATCGTTGAAATCGATCCGAGCTTGGCTTAAACACAAGATTTAACGAACTGCTTGATGTCAAAACCGGTAAACCTTAAATATCACTGACCAATCACTAACCAGTCACTATTAAGCGTAGAAGATATCGTGGTTAGGTTGTAAGCTTTTCGATAGTTCAGCGCTGGGAATTGAACCGAGCAATTTTTGCCGAAGGTTGGCTCGCCCTTGTCTTACGAAAACACAGTGAGCGGTTGACGCTCTCTTGATGACCGTTTATCTTTCAGTCCAAGGTTCAGTCACAAATCTGGACATGTAGTGGCGATTCAGTAACGCGATAGATGATTGACATTGTAGATAAAAGCCAAGCGGCTGTTGAAGACAACATGGACGGGAACGGTAGAAGCAAGGTTGACAGCACATATTTAGGCGTAGATACAACACAGGCTGGAGAAGTCATCGACTGCATAATGAGGTTGGTTGGGTGCAGCTCAACTTCAAGATTCTCTGTGAAAGTCGTCGGAACGTGCGAGATCATGTCTAGTGAAGACTCCTGAGAAAAAAGTCCGATGCACCTACTAGTGCAATATTTGCCGATTTCTTCCGGGGGGATGCAATGGAACGAGCGACTTTCTGGGATAAGTTTATCGTGGCTGCAGATAGTGCAAGACAGCCCGATATTTCGAACAGCACATGTCATCAAGAGTTTTTTTTATAAAATAGTATGACGAAGGAAGTCATTGCTGGGTTGGTATTGTCGGCTGCTAATTACAAGACAGTTCATAAGCTTTGTGTGACCAGATTGCCGAAGCATGACATACTCCTTGTTCCTCACATTCTTATTGCATGTTCCCTCGGCTCATCCACTGAGAGCAGCAAGCCTATGAAACATCCCAGATTCACGTTTGCCTGATGCCCAAATGCCTAGACGTCTCGTAAGTGAAGCGCAACACGTGCAGAATGTTCATTACTCTCCGGATCTTTGCAAAGCTTCCAAAAGATTCACGCATGAAATGGCTGAGCGGCTGACATTTTCCATGAAAGCCGTAGCTACCAGTAAGTGCAATGATGGAGATGTGAGGGTTACACCTGCCTGGCAGATTGCCTTGAGCTCCCCGCTAAAGATTTCCTTCCTCTCGTTCGCTTGCGTAGCTTTATGAAATCTGCACGCATCATAGTCTGGATCGAGCAGTTTGAGTAAAACGTGCGCTCAGTTAAAAAAATCTCGGAGCTTCTCTATCACAAAATACCCGAAGCAAAAGCTGCATGTGCTTCAACTAGCACAGATCGAATATCCGTAGCACAGTAAAGGTATTTGTCTTAGACGGGGCCTATGCTAAAGGATATCAAGCTGAGTAACCAAAATCCGTTCGCAAGAGACGACGGTCGTTTTCGAATGAAAACCAAAATTCACACCTCAGAACGCCCTTGTGGATTAGAGCTTCCCACCATCATGAAGAAGGCCCAAGGCAGGAAGAGGACTGACAGGTCCTCATCCTGCGTTGGTAGCTACCAAGCCGGGGCCTCTCTCGGTCATGAGGATAGATGTGATTGATCCAGTGTTTTGCCCTGACATTGCGGACCATGAACTGCATATGCATTTTTGCTTGGGGCGTTGTTCAAGCTGTGTACGTTGAACTGATGGAATCACAGACGCTGGATTCCTTCCTGATCGTGTTTAGACAGTTTGTAGCATGGAGACGCATGGCATCCGTCGCCTTTTCCAACAATGCAGTCATAATGAAAGGAACGGAAACCCACTTCAGAACTTGTGTTGCACAGTTCGCCAACTGTGCAACCACAATGAACCACAATGGTGGTTCATCGTTTCGCAACATCCATGGTAGGGTGGTCGGTAGGGACAGTTAATGTGCTTCATAAAGGACTCACTGCGCAAGTCAGTGGCTGAAGTTTAGTCAGCACGGCTGAGCGTGTAGCTGCTCTGCACGAATTGAATGTGCGCACAGTTTTACATTCATGACCTTTGTAAGAGACTATGGTGAAAGCCCCACTACATTAACGCGCAACCACTTCCCGCTGCGTGGAGTGACAAATTTCGGCTGCCTAATGTGCTGGAGGCACACAAACTGTTCCATCCCAAGGACTTCTCAACAGCGACTGGCGATATCTCAAGTGCTTAAACGAGTCCTGAGATCTCTCGCAACGCGATTAATTAGGACCAATAACCCGAGATGTCCGTTCCTGGAGGACCCATCGCAGCCCCAGTCCGGCTGCGCTGAACCACAGGAATAATGTCGTGCAGGTATGACGGTCACAATGGTATGGCGCGTCTCGTCGAGGTGAGAACCTCGAAGGGTGTCCACACACAACTTGTTCAAAAGTCACACAGTTTGGAGGTGCTGTCCAACGAAACGGATGTGCACGGACCCGGGCGTCCGCTCTTCGGTGAACGTACTATGATTGGGCCCAAGTATGGGCAGGCAGGAAAGTACCAATGCATAACAGTTGTGACACAAGCCCACAGACTGGTAACGCGGAAAATTACAATGAAAACCACGTCTAAAAAGAGCTATTTTCACATTGTTGTTGCTGTCCCTACGGAGCCAGGTGACAATACTGCCATTGGATCGTTCCCACAACTTCTGCGAACTACCGGGGTTCTTGATAATTCACGTCCTTGCACAGTTTTTGCGCATATGATCTCCCTGCTTGGCCGCTGTGTTCTGAGGTAGTTGTCATCATGTTGGTACTCTAGCATTTAACGGGAGAGTCTACTGTAACTTATTTCATGTCATGAAATGACACATTCTTAAGCCGAACCGTAAGACATGCACACGGAAAATTCACAAAGCTATCTTCGGTTTACCGAAAACTGTAGTTGTTTCTGAAGGCTGCTTCAAAGTGTGCAATATACTAATATATAAGAAGATAACTCCAATCGATTCCAACTCGGATAAACACCGGGTTTAATGAACGGCTACGGGGTGTCCTAGATACCAATCAGTCGTTCGTCAGTGCGATGTCCTTAAGGAATACTTGATCCCGCGTCAACCAGAGTTCACACAGACTGCCTAGTCCCCTGTCAGCGGGTGCCTTTAGAGCCTGCTTGGTGTTCTATCAGCGAGTGTCCTCAGAGGCTGTCCGGTGTCCTGTCGGCGAGCGTCCTCAGGGGCTGTCCGGTCCCCTGGCAGCGAGTGTCCTCAGAGACTGCCCAGCCCCCTGCAGTCCTCAGAGGCTGTCCGGTGTCCTGTCAGAGAGTGTCCTCAAAAGCTGCCTGGTATCCCGTCAGCGAGTGTCCTCAGAGGCTGTCCGGTCCCCTGCAGTCCTCAGGGGCTGTGTGGTGTCCTGTCGGCGAGTGTCCTCAGAGGCTGCCCGGTGTCCTGTCGACGAGCGTATTCAGGGGTTGCCCGGTCCCCTGTCAGCGAGTGCCCCAGAGACCGCCCGGTGTTCTGTCAGCGAGTGTCCTCAGAAGCCGCCTGGTATCCTGTCAGCGAGTGTCCTCAGAGACTGCTCAGTCAGGACGTTTTTATAGACTGCTCGGTGCTCCGTTGTACAGTGAGGCAGAAGCCGTGAACGCTGAGAGACCGTTCGATGCACGGTTCGGGCTCGGCTACTCACCGGCACCTGTTCGGCCGACAATGCCGACCTTCTCGCCGGCCGGGATGGTGAGGCTGAGGTCGTGCAGCACGCGCGGCAGGTCGGCGCGGTAGCGCAGGCTGACCCCATCCAGACTGATTGAGCCGAACTCGGGCCACAGCGCGGGCAGTAGACTGTTGGGCATCTCGGCCGGCGCCTCGTACTCCAGACCCTGCAGTGCAGCCGGACACGACCACTCACTCTCACGCCAGATACGCCACCGCCCACCAGAGCAGAAACCGAGTCCCTACCCCTTGGGATTTGAACACTGAAAGCACTCGTTGCCTCCATTCCTGCTCATTGCAAACGTGCTCCCAATGTGTGCTCTTGGGTGAAACGGGACCTTGGCAGGAGCACCACCCATCCATTGGCCCCCGAGAGCCTTGGGTGCCTGTTGTTTATATTTGTTAACTCGATTTTTTCATGACGTTTGAATAACTGTATGCGTGCTACAGGGCACCTGTTACCTTTAAGATGGGAAAGAAAATTAATTTCAACTCGAGAAGCGCATAATGATTTTGTATTCCACTAAATGTCTTGGAACACTGCGCTGTGCACCCACCTGGCAGTACTCCGAGCAGCGTTCGACGGCGGACATCAACGCGGAGAGCTCGGAACAGAGCATCACCAAAAACGGCATGATGCCCACCGTGTCGTACACCAGACTGAGCATGAGGCCAGCCTCGGCCGGCGAGGCGCCCGGCACCAGCAGCAACACGGCGGCAATCGTGGCGAGCAACACCAGGCCCAGCTCGTCAGCGCGCAGGCAGAACCACGAGTTGGCCAGGCGGAACGCCAGGATGGAGGAGGTGTGCTTGATCCAGCAGGTGCTCGAACCTGCGCCGGACAGCACCAGTCAACAGAAGGCCCGGCGCTGTTTGACTGCTGGGAGGGCTGACGGAGCACACGGCCGTGGACGCCGCGTCCAGTTGGCCCAGGGGTCACAGGAGCACTGCATACCAGCCTAGGCGACACGAGAGTTATCTGTAACGCGGAGAACTGCCGAAAGAAGAATGCTTAGTAAGGTTTCATGGCTAACAACTGGTTCAAAAGTTAGGTTTTTAACGAACGATATTAAGGGTGTCTAAAACATGTCCGATCATTCATCATGTGGGAAGCAAAACTCTTCACTGGTGGTGAACAGACTATAGCAAGACCTGTTGCTATGGATTTATCTTATTCCAATCAGGAGGTCAAAGTGATGCCGTTGGGCTGTGCCGTGGCCTACCTCTCGACCATCATGCGCTCCTTGCCGTAGGAGCGGATGACGGAGAGTCCGCCGACCGTGGAGGTCAGATGGTGGAGCACCGGAGACCGCAGCACGTTCTCGATGTGCTTCGTATTCCGGATACCGGTCACCAGACAACGCCACAGGATACCGTACAACACTGGGGACCGGTCAGGTGGTCGTGGTGGTGTAAAAAATACTGGTGGCAGGCACTTCAGGGCTAATGAATTACGGCAGATAGCCATTGTTTAAGATAATACGCATGCCAGTAGAGCATCATTATTGTTTGACACTCTCTGACACCTAGAAAATGTGGTGTAATAATCCAACTAGTAACGCTGAATTTCTTCCGCGCAAATCGCTTATGCCAACGCACAAATAAGTCCACGTCTTTTTCCATACTAAACCCGAAACCGTGTCTGCAACCAAAGACGAAGTGAAGGAGGCGTGATACCGAAGGGTGGTCACCTCTCCAATTGGTGAAATTGGTCCGAGGGTCTTCTCCAGGATCAGAAGAGGTGCAAACATTTATTTTTGTGGACGATGCTTCTCTTTGCAAGTTGAAATGCTTAAGTGTTAAATGGCCTTTTCTCCATTTTTTTTACGTGCGCACGTTTAGGGTCCTTGGACCGGTCAAGAGGCAGTTGGAGCAGCTAGCTGAGGATGAAGCTTAGGTGAAATGCGACACGTGGGGAACCTGAATAGCCCCATAAGCATTTGCTGGTCTGAAAGTGAGGTCCTCGTGCACAACTTTTGGCAAAATCGATAAGAAAATACCATGTACGAAAAAGGAAATCATGAGACTACAGCAAGTTTGAATGAAATTATACGACTGCTGAAGCTGCAGAGGCCCTGTGATTAACTCTAGCCTGCTTTGCGATACCCTGGCTGCCTTGCAAAGCTTTACCGCAATTAAATGTACCACCTGGGAGTTACACAAACCTGTCGAAAGCTGGATCTGACCCCGCGCCAGAAGGATGGAGCGCGTTGCAGCACTGAGCGACTTTGACATAATAGCGACATTACACTCCTACTACTACTCACAGCGACATAGCACCACTACCGCTACTACTTCTACTACTACTACTACTTCCACTCACGACATTACACCACTACTACTACTACTACTACTACTACTGCTACTACTACTACTACTACTACTACTACTACACTACTCATCGAGGAATCGTGTCCTGAAAGCCGATGCTCGCATAGTCTCACGAGAGATCAGATAGATCTCTGGTGAGAGTGCATGGGGAATACAGGCTCAACTGGTACCTTACCGAAGGTACCGGCGACGACCAGAGCGTAGTACGGATAGGCCAGCATAGGCACCATCAGCTGCACCAGCACGATCGATACCCCGCTGGGTCAAGAACTCGTACAAGTCCGGAATACGGGTATCCACTGGAACACACAAACGTTTATCAAAACCGTTAAGCTCAGCTACCTCAATTAATCTTCGTTTGGCCATCCCAAGAAGTTGCCTATTTGATTTTCTTTTCACAGCGCGAGGGCTCTCCGAAAAACCATGGTCCCAACAATCACCTGATCATCGCCAAACGCACAGAGCCAGTGCCCCAAACCACAAATGTTCACTCAAATGGGTTCGGAAAACCCATCTCAAAAGCTGGGGGCAGCACCGGCTTCAAATGGCCGTATGGTGCCTCGGGCAGGCGAGCGGGGCCTGGACGCCCGTACCGCAGTCAATGTCCCTGGAGAGCCGGTTCAGGATGCGGCCGATAGGCGTGCTGTCGAAGAAGCTCATCTTGCAGCGGACCAGGCTGGAGACCATCTGTTCATGCACCCGTCTCGCACCGCGCATCACGCAGAGGGTGTAGTTCCCGCCTGCCGAAGAGACAGGCGGACAGAAATGTCAGCTGGCGAAGCAAGTATGCCATGCCTATGGCCATGGCTGTTGTCTCTTCTTCGCGACATCGGCATCGATTTAGCTCCGAAGGATATCGCCCTAGAACGGCGGCTCTTAATCACACATGCGGTTTTAATGCAGGGATTGTCGCGTCTTCACTACCATGCACTATATTTTCCTTTCAACATTGAAATAAATTTGCAGGTGCCTACAATTCAAATCTGGGAGTTTCCGGCCAGCAGCCCCGCAGGTTGATTCTCCGGGATGATTGTTAGGGCAGTAACGATCTCGCTCATACCAGTCACTTTCGTGAGTAAATCAAATGTAAATATAAGACCAAATCTTCTATTTTCAAGTATCTTGCGCAGCCATCTTCAACACCCACTCCAAACAGCAGCGCCCAAACGTACAACTAGAACCTATAAGCAGTCTGGTTTTCACTGAGTCTTGAAGTATTCAACACTCGCCTCGCAAAATAAGCCTCTCGCCTTCAACCGAAAACGATTCAGCTCAAGAGGCAGAGTGGTGACGTGGTATGACGTCATGTGAACCAATAATAAACGTACACGTCATCGTACGTGGAAAGGGAATATCTAACCAAATAAGTCCCGTATGGTGAGTTCTCTTTAGGAGCTCGGGTTTCTTGGATGGATGGTTTTAGGCGCTAAGATGGACTTTTCTAAGATAAATATCAAATCACATTACTGATAGCTGACCATTGATACATCCAAGACGACTTTGCCCCAAAGTCCGGTGTCTGCCTAGGACCCCAGACAGCGTCCTGGGTCTCTGCTGTGTCGGATATCTTTGACGTCTTTATCAGAGCGGGATGGTTAGAAACGCTCTAACTGCGTATGTTTGTTCCGAAGTCACAAGAGACTTTTTGCCTAAAAATGCTATGGGTATTTCGTAGAAACTTGTGGCTTAAGAGATTTCCCTAGTTTTGCTGAGGCTTCGGCCAACAGGATGAAACGATTTTCGGGGTGTACGTGTACATGTGCCATGCCACAATTTAAGGCATGTATTAAACTTGCAAATGATAGAGTAGTTCCATGCGTAGCTTTTTAACACACTTCCATTAAGGAAGAAGGAGGATGGGCAAGTTCTTACGTAGAACATGAGCCCTAGAGCCAGAATTTTCATCATCATCATCACGAGCAGACATTTTCTGGAACTTTCGTCTTTTCCTAGTCTATCAATCTTCATTGTCCAATACGTATGAAGTTCATGATGCTCATCTGGTGAAAACTAACCACGTATGTTGGGCTAAATTTTTCAACAAGCCCACCTAAGCCTCATTCCGCTAAAGAATCCATCCACCACGTCAGAACCTCCCAAACATTGCTGCACTGAACCACATGTTTGAGTGCGCCGAACTCAGTTCACGTCAATATGCACTTAGCTTTCTGTGCGAGCCAGTTTTGCAAGTGTGTCAACGACAACTCCCAGTCGTTTGTGACACCTTCCACACATTGATATTGATGGTGACTGCCCCAAACACTGAATGCTTGGATTTATGATGTACGTTGTTGCCCTGATGTCCTGGCTGCCCCAAGCATGTTCGGTGGGTAATTATGCCTAACAGTCCGGCATAAGCCCCTGACTACAAAATCCATGTTTTGCCTCCAGCTAGGCCTGACAATTATTGCAGTGCATGCACGCCATAAATTTGGAGGCAGTCTCGGGATTTGTGTCATGGACACCACCAATGTTGGTGCGCAGGGAGTCAATGCTTGAATAAGATATAGAATACTTCAGAAGCAATTTCAGACAAGAGTGCCTGACAACATTCTTCAAGTAACAATTAGTTGAAAATTTGGTCAATTTGGCCTGGCCTGTGTTTGGTGCGTGCTAGCACCACGTTCAGGTGCAGCGCCAATTTTGAATAGGAACTGGCGTATTGGGTGTATTTCTTTGGCGAGCGCCTTCTACGAGTTTGTAGTCCAAAGTTGTCTTTCATGGCCATTGCGAAATGTGGAGGGAGTAGGGTTATTTCAGCTAGGCATTATAAGGTTATTTGGTGTATATAAAGGAAGGATGACAAACTGAGTAGTTTCATTAGAACTGAACTAATTGATGACATAATTTGACAACCTGCGATGCATAGTGTGATGATATTGTTGCGTGCGTTATGCGTTTTGTATTATCCTTGCGTGCGTGAATGTGTAGCTCACTCTGTATGTGTTTGTGGACATGTTTATTCCTGGCATCATGGAAAAAAAATGAATATGAGAGATGCAGACCGCGCCACGTTGGAAGTGGAAGACGGCGTGTGGAGGGGGGGGGGGGGGGGGAGACGGGACATTTCCAGAAAGTGATACATGATAATGCCAACTATTTTATTGCGGTGCACAAAGCCAAGTTCGAACCACGAGGTGATGCGTTGAATTACGCGTTGTTGAACTACGAATTGTATGAGTTCGAACAAGTGCTTAAGACTTGAGTCGTCCATAAGACATGAGTCGTCCACTTAAGACTTGAGAACTAGGCTCGCAGCGACTCCGCGAAACCAAGCCATGACGTTCGGCTATCAAACTGACGAGGAGTGTGCCGTTCTGCCCCCTCCACCCCGTTCTAGCTCCAGATGCCGATCTCTATCGATCACATTAAATAAATATTGATGTGCCACAAATTCGGTGGCTACCCTGCACCACCTTAGTGCCCACTGACAGATGGCCGCGGAAGGCGGACCGCGGAGCAAATGGTAGGGTGCCTGACGGCTATATACGAAACCCTCGCATGCGGGGTTGAGAGACAATTTGATCCTCTACCACTCATATATAAATAATTAAGACAGCTAGGTAGTTATAACACCAAAAGTTACGAGGTCAATAGACCTCGATGTGAATGCAGTTGTGTAAGTTTTAAGGTATCTACGTCGTGACTCATCGGTCAAATGAGTGCACAAATGTTACTCAGGATCCGTGCTCCAAGTGCCCGCTGACTTTTGCAGGTGATGAGCTTTAACCTTTATATTTTTCTAGGTAAATCATGACTGGGGAAGAAATCAGGTCAGAGAACTGATCCGATCTTTAAAACGTGAAAATTACAAACAACCCTCGATATTATTTTCACATGTTCATTTTAAATCAGCGTCAACACCACCCTATATGCATGTTCTGCATGACAAAGTTTATCTAGGCTACTTCAGTTCGGTGATTTCCGTGGCCTTCACGAAGTCAAGTGAAAAATCTGGTGACGTCCATGTAATGGAGAAATTCAAAACGAAATGAGGCAAATTTCCAACCCATTCGCTGTTTTCAATACCATACTTTGAAAGCTTCCTAGGACTTTTGTCTTCGCTGACAGTCATGGCTTAAATTTGACCTGCTACAAATCTGCGTCCATGAGAGATAAGCCTAACGTTTTTTTTTTACCAAGATACATGTTTAAAGATATGCTATTCAATGGATCTGCTTTAAAAAGACTGGTGCGCTACGCCGCACCTTCCCCAAAGTTTTCACGAAAAGCATAATGGGCTCAAACTGACAACATGCTGAGCACACGTTAAAACTCTGTGATTTTCCCCAACACGTTTGTCGTGTGTTGGATGGATTCCCGCTTCTGACATGAGGTTCTACGCCAAAACGAGTCGGGACAGCATTCACACTGCAAAGATGCTGGTTTTGTGTGAATTGTGTATGCACGCAGTGAAAGCAATCTTTCAGTAAGGCAATTTCTGATTTGATCGTTTTTTTTTTGTTTCTGAGGCTGGCTACTCTCGGGACACAAATGAAACTTTCCCGTTAAGCTATAATCATTGTGGCCACCCACAAACTAGTCACCCTTGGTTTTACGTGATATCTAACTTTGCTCTAGCTCTAGGGCTCTAGCTCCAGCAACGAAGCAGGACTCTTCCTGTGCTGGAGACGGCCTGATAGCCTGGAGCAGCAAGGTGGGATTTTTTGACGGGCGTTCAGTGGGGTACGTTGCGCACGCTCTCAAATTTTCCTGTTCAAATTCGTTTCAATGGCTGGCCAGCTATGTGTGGAACAACTGGCCCGCGGTATAGACCAATGTCAGATGCATCAGAAACTCCTCTCGCGAAGGCAGCTGTTATACCGGGCGCTGAACAGCCTAGCGACTTCTCTGATGCCAGGCTTCAGTCCGCGTGCTCTGACCTTTCAGAAATCCAAACACGAAGAGGGCCAGGACGGTGCCGGCGTATCCGACCGTGTAGAGGTCCACGTTGGCGCTGTCGTTGATCGCTCCTGTCAGCTCGTCCTTGGTGAACGTCACGTTGTACAGCGTCACGTTACGCAGACGTTCCTCCTGGGGACAGACGGATGAAGGTGAGCGTGGCTCACTGTACCGGCTCACAATGCGAGACCTGGATGCATTGTAAGGGTGACCCTGAGTGCACCGGGACACAACGCGGGACCTGGATGCATTGTGAGGGTGTTCCAGACAGTACCGGGACACACCGCGGGGCCTGGATGCCTTGTGAGGGTGTCCCAGACAGTACCGGGACACACCGCGGGGCCTGGATGCATTGTGGGGTTGTCCCAGGCAGTACCGGGACGCACTGCGGGGCCTGGATGCATTGTGAGGTTGTCCCAGACAGTACCGAGACACACTGCGGCGTCTGAATGCATTGTGAGGTTGTGCCAGACAGTACCGAGACACACTGAGTGGCCTGGATGCATTGTGAGGTCCCAGGCAGTACCGGAACGCACTGCGGGGCCTGGACGCATTGTGAATTACGTAAGTGTTTTGTTTTGTTTTGTTTTGTTCTGTTTTGTGCATCAACCAGGAACATTATTCAGATACATAAGACAGTAGTATTAGCCTTATTTCCCGCAGAGAAACCGGGAGAATGGAGGTATAGTTGGGTTGATATTTCGGCAACGTGCCTTTATCGAAACAATAGCAGAAGTGAATAAGAGAAGTGAATAATATTCACTTCTGTTATTTTTTTATAAGGGCATGTTGCCAAAATATCTACCCAATTATATTTACATTCTCCTGGTTTTTCTCCGAGGAATGAGGCATTGTGATTTATGTCACCTTTTCAGCTGTGCACGGTTAGACATTGCAACACGTGTTTTGCGAGGTATTTACAAATGTACCAATGCACGACCGATGGCATATCTGGAGTACAAATGGTTTGACAGTCGAATGAAAGTGGATATGACTCAACATGATGTAATTTCCTGTTGTAAGACGGAGCCCACTGCGCTATGTCGGATTGAATATCATTCACATCCATGATTTGCAACCAGTGAAACTTTTAGCGTAAGCGAAGTTAGATTTATCCCACGAACTGAAGCTTTAGCTTCACTGGAGCGGCCTGTCTTTAAAACATGTTTTCATAAGCAAAGGCCTATTGCACATTTTGTGCGCTTCATTACAAAACCGTCTAGGTCAGCATGACTGCAAAAAATTAGTTGATGTATGGGAAAGAAAGAAAATTATTAAGAGACATTGCACAAGTTTATGTTTAGACAGCGAATTTGCTGGTCAGGGCGGAAGTCATGCAATGTTTTTGGTCTTTTAAGATCTTTATATGGTGACATTCACTTTAGATGTGATCAACCACGTTTAAACTCTAAATCAGCGTCAGAAGTGCTCTCAGAAGTCTTCACACAATAACCTTTAACCTGGATGTCTTTTCAAAGCAATATATTCCTCAGGCAATATAAGTTGAAAGTTTTCATGTTGAACAAATTCCCTTCCATATACCCGGAGGTATTGGTTAAACGACGTTGTAAATTTACATACTGATTCTGTGAACGGTACTCATTATTTCAAGTTGGCACTACAGAGTTCATTAACCAGTGCGTTCTGCTACCTTGAACATCGTTAATGCGACCTCAGAAATTTTAACTCATTTTGCCAAAAAAAGTAGGATCCGAAGGCCCATATTTCCCACGTCAACATTACACAGGGTCATTTTATGTCTCACAGCGGCCTTCGGGATTTCAGTAGGTTCACCTGATCTTGAGCAGGTCAACATGAAACAGAACTTGTGATATCGTGATGCTATTTATGTTAAAGGCATTGTCAACAATGGCTTAAGGCGGCAAGTTCTTCACAGGAAAATGCCCATCAAGACCATTATGGGTCAGTGACCTCCATTGGATTCCACTAAGGTCCATATGATCAATCTGTTGACGTCTCCGTGATCAATAATGCGAAGTAATGTGATAAATAATGTGATCAACTACCTTACAAACGCAAAAGATACCTTAAGACTACCCAACAAACAATTTTTCCACCCAAAATATTGTTCAGTTATACCGTCAACCTGACCTTCACAACTGGCATAAGGTCAATACTATCAGTTTTAATTATTATCTCAACTGCACCATGTTCCATGAAACCGTCAAAGTCTTATGATTTCGTCGATCACTTCCATAGCTGCCCTCTCTGACTTTGACCCGATGCGGGCCAGTGACCTTAAAATGTGTATTCAAATCATTTGCACAACACGATCAGATCTGCATGGCCTCCTGTAAGAAAAGCATAGAGTCCCTATGTCGCGCTGTTCAAGAGTTAGCTTGCAAAATTAACATTTAACGCCTATCTGGGCACGTGTTAAACTTTATCTTAAGAGGGGGTCACACGTTAATATTTTGTGCAAACACCTGGGCTAGTTATATGCTTGTCCCAGAGTGTTAATGGCGTCTGTACTATAGTTTTTATGCTGGTTTGTGTGCGTGCACGCTCAGAGTCGTTGACCGTTGCCATATCGTCCTACCTTGCGTCCATCGCCGGCGTCGATCCAGTACTGCAGATAGAGGCCGCTGCCGGTGCGGCAACAGGCGAACAGCACCATCCAAAACGTCATCAGCAGCACGCCCCACACGCCGCAGTACTGAAACGGACGTAGTCGGCACTGAAATAGGTCCAGCTAAAGCTGTAATAGGCTACAACGAGCACCGGGTGCCGGCGCGTAAACTCAGCGCTGAAACAGGTCCAGCTAACGGTACAACAAGCATCGTGTGTTACTTCGTGATCATAGGGCCAGCGATGAAACAGACAAAGACCGCATGATAATGCCCATTCTAATGCTCAGACAAGCACCTGCCACGCATATTGCAAAGGCGCAGGCAGCATGTCGCGCAAGGCGCAGTGCCAAAACGGGCGTCGACTGGGGTACCGGGTGTTAACGCCTCGTCAATGCGTAGCAGACCACGAGCGACACACCGCGCAGGTCGCTGTGTTTAAAGGGATATGGCTGCACTAAACACGCCCAAATAATAGCTTATCTGGCATAGACACCAGCCATCTGGTGTCTATGCCAGATAAGTATCACCAGCCTCTGGAACACTGGCCCGGGATATTTAGCTCCATATCCAAAAGCTTCGTCACAGCTTTTTTATCGGATTGTAAGTATATACAAGTTAGTTTTGAAACTGAAAAGACAGGTTGCATTGATAATTTGCTTCCTTAGATTATTTTGGGTGATATTGCTGTGATTAAAGCTCAACGTTGGCAGCAACATGTGGGATAAAAGGCACCGAAAAGTTCCACCTACAAATGCAATACACAATGATACCTGATAATATACGGCGAAGTTCTTAAATATACCCATGGTAGAACCGTACGCTTCGTCTGATGTGAACTTCCCGCCAGGTGTTCCCGTTTCTGAAAATAAAATAGAACATCAGAGTAGTACTTTTCTTAGGATGCCACCTTCTGGTAGATTATCGATAAACTCCCGTTGATGCTCCGGCCATAGATCCCTACCCTGGTAACTCCTCGCCATGGCTTTCCTTCGCTGACGCCCTCATCACACGCGCTAGCCTCCGTTACTCTCAGCCTAGTCTCAGTCAGCACCCTCTGCCGATACCCTGTTTCCAGTTCACACCGCTGTTGACACGCTGGTCACTGTGCATACCGTCGGCGCCTGCCGGGTCCTGGGCCTGTTCGGCCGGCTTCTGCTGCTGCTGACTGGCGGCGTCGCAGCTGACCAGCTGGCAGTAGTCGCCCTCCAGCTCCATCAGCTGCTGGTGCGAGCCCCGCTCCGCTAGCCGGCCGTCCTTCATGAACAGCACCTCGTCACACCGCGACAGGTACTGGAACAAGACACGGCAGGGGCCAATGTGAGGGGACGCAATGCCGCAGACGCACACGCCCCATCGGGGTCAGGACGCTGTCTGGACCCAATCACTCCCTGACAGCGCCGTCTGAAGTGCTGATAATTTTGCCTTAACATGTGGTGTGCAGTTACATGACGATGAACACGCTACCCGTTACGCTATATGTTCCTGCGCTGCAAAATGTTCCGCTAAGGTCGGTGAATATAGCTTGAGTAGACTGTGTCGGCCAGAAACAGCGGTGTGCCAAAAGACATCTAAGCACGACACGCTGACAACGGTTAATAACCAAGATTTCCCGCTCATAAGCCTGTGTGCATGCGAAATAACTGGTGTTCCACGTGATAGGTCTCCGATACAATTGTACTGTTGTGTACTCAAATGGTGCGGGTTCAGAAAATCACATATTTTTAGAACCAAAGGACACCTCTCCGCAAAAGCGGGCTAAGACAATGCTAAGCTAAAGCAGCGATTTCGTCAGTGACAGAATAGGTTATTCGCTGTCTGGTATCAAAACAGCCGTCATTGTTGTTGCAAACTTTTTCTTGATTTGGCGCTAAGTGCGATCAGCCTACAAAATTCGCCAATCTGGCGAGAATGTCTAAAATCCTAATTTCTTTAGAAAGTGCATCATTTAAACGGGGTGTTCAACATTTGCGTGTGATTTTGAACTGATATTGTCATCATGAAGAGCATTCGGTGCAGACCACAGCCCTGTCCTTCCCAAGACCTAAACCCCTCTAGTTTTTTTAGCTACATGGCCACAAGGATGTGCAGACTAACTCAGGGAGACTATTTCAATGCCACCCAGGCATCCATGACGCGATAATATCGTGATCAAAATCCTGCCATTCCATTGGTCATACGGCGATCAAGGCCCATAATATACACTTCCCAAGTTGTTCATAAATGGCGTTCGTCAGAACGTTTTCCAGACATAACGGTCAACTGGCTCCCAGTATTGTCTAGAGCAGCCTTTTCCAGTTAAAAGTATACCAATAGTTATAAGTGAGCTTATTTCATCATATGTGACACTTCCTTCAGTATCTTCAAGTGTGGAAAATTCCCTTTAAGTGCGTGTCAACATCGCACAAATGAACGTAAAGTGTGAATGAAACAACATTTATGAAACATGCCTTAACCAGGGAACGACACAATAGTTTCCGGGCAAGACAAGTTAAACATTTTATTTCATTCTTGAGCAGTGTCATTCTGCTGTGAATTCCCACCCACACCGTGCAGGAGAAACACCACGACGGAACGGCTGGAGGAATGGCCTCAACACAAGCCGGACAGCAAAAAGTAAAGGTGGGTGGATCGTGAATTTTTTTGTAAATGGTCATCAGAATTAGCTGATATGTCAACAACGTTCAGTACAGCCCAGGAAATGAGTTTTCTGTGGATGCTACCGGATGGAGGTTCTGAGTTAGTTTGTAACGCATTTTTGGCGGAATGGACTCCGCCCGGATTAAGTGCCTTACAGCTTGCATCATACGCAGTGCAATGTTTGCATCTGCTAATAGCTCTTGATCTGAACGTGTTTGGTCTGTGCACGCACGAACAGGGGTAAAAAGCGTCCACTCGTTCACAGGCATGGTGGGCTATGGACGTGAGGCGATCATGAAAAGAGTTGAAACGCTCTCACCGTTCAAAGCCCTATCAAATTTTTTTTTGTCACAGAAAGTCAAGCGCGATGACCTTGCGCACATCACAACACTGAAAGAACAAGACAAGGTTCAAAAGCCTAGACCTTTTTCAACACCGCCGTTTACAGAAATAGTTTATGGGCGATTTGTGGCACACTTCACAGCCTTCCAGTCACGGATGTCGATTTGTATTCTTTTGTGAGGGCTCTGCCCCCCCCCCCCCCATGTTGGCTTGGCCCTCGAATGTTTTTGGCTGGAGTAATACAAAAACGTAGGTAAAAGATGATCATAACACAAAGTTTATTTTCGTTGATCTCTCTGCGTAGCGGCGCCTCGTACCACTCTCATAACAAAAAGTCATGGCTGCTCTCGCCACAAGATACAAACCACAACAGCTGAGCGGATGAATGATGCAATAAACTTCAAATACCTAGCACCATAAGACTCGCAATGGTTTGCGAGGTTAAAGCAAAAGATCTGGAGTATGAAGATGGCCTAAGTCCTTCATGGCTCCGCTCCAGTCCTCAACAACAAAAATGCGTGCCGCCTCCCATGACCGCCATAGAAGAGCGCCGTCGGCGCCCTAGGTGGCCTCTAAAGGGGCACCTTCACGTGCCGATCAGAAGAGACGCGTGTGTCCAGCGCCTGTTCCATGGATTCAACCATGCATGACTTCTACACTGCTTAAATTAAAGACTTTTGTAGATTATACAAGGATTTAAAGCGAATATTGCGTTAAATCAAAATAAAGTGAGCTAAATCCGACAAAAAATGGGGGGGGGGTAGGTTGTCAGGGTTTCGGTTCGGCTCTCCCAACAAGTTACAAAAGTTGACACCCCTGCTCACAGTTGTTTGAAGAGCCGTTTTGTTCAGTTTCAATATGCTCCTCATCCTAACCGCGCAGCCTCCTCAGCTTCAAAAAGTGACGCTTACGTAGGGCCTAAACTTACCATATCAACCCCATATTTCTTCATAATAGCATCATGCTGGGATTGTGCGTCAGCTCTGTTTATCGAAGGGATGAAACAAGAAGTTTAATACATGCCTATAGTTTTAAATACCTTTTTTATTGGTGAAAATCGATATTTTGCAAACAAAATGACTAAGAACCATGAAGCCGTCATCATCGTACATAACTTTACTATTGTCAGAGTGGCACGGTTTGCCTTAAAACGCGGCATTACAACATTGATTGTTGTCCATCTTTTGGTGTCCAGGTGCGTTTTAGCCGGTACGATTGTGAGAAACTGGCATGTGCTGGTTAGTTTGGATGTAGCATTCGATGGAGGATGGTGTGAATGTGAGAAATATGAGTACCAGCTGGGTAGCTACCTTGGTGGAGGCATGTGTTTTAGGCATACCGAATTTTGCGTAGGTGTCTGTCAAAAAATGCTTGTAGTGTGCATGACTGTGAATGTGGCATGGAACCGGACACATCCAGATACTGAACTTTTTTCTGTCATCATTTGACGATGTTCAGTTTACTGCTATTCGCATCAGATAGTAGAATCCCAGCATCAGGCCTCAGTGTGGGGATGTAAACTTCATTTGTTTTATGTTTGAAAGCCAGCGGAATCTGGCCACATTTTATCATCTTTTGTTCGGACGGTACCGGAGGACATTGCAATTTAAGGATTGGTATATGTAACTTTTATATATAAACCCAGCATATCAAGCTGAATTGTTTGATGTCCAGTGAATATGATGTGATGTCCAGTGGTAAATTGTTTGATGTTTCCAATTTTGGACCAGACTTCCGCAACAGGCAGTGCCACAGATAAAGCAAGAAGATGCTACTTTTGGAGCAAGACTCAGGTTGGCTGATACATTCCTTTGGCATTTTTGCCATGTTTGGCCAATAAGAAAAAGATGATACCAGAAACCTAGAGCTGTTTTAAATTACAAAGCGTTTAATGTATGCTTTGTATCTTCAAGTGCACTTGAAGATACAAAGTATATCTTATATATACTTAGTATATCAGAGTGTATCTTCAAGTGCTAATTTCAGAAATGTTCTTTTATGTGCAAGCGTTGGCAAATTTTGTGTGTTGCCAAGTGGTCTAATATTGTTCATCAGATCGCATGCTTGAGCATGCCATACCACACCTTTACTTTGGACATAACAACTATCTCACTTGGTGCAAAATTTAGGTTGACTCTGAGCTTAACACCTAGCTTACATCTTTGCCACACCTTGAAGGCTCATGGATTGCTTCATGAAGTAATTTCCACTACGTGGACTGAGTTGGTGTCCCATGAAAAGCAAGGCACATTGTGTGTGGTTACATGGTGTCCTGGTTCATGCAAAAATGCATTATTTAGTACGTTTTTTGTACAATATGGACACCTATGGCATGTAACTAATATAGTACTGGAACGTGGTGTATATAAGGCAAGGGAATCTGCCAAACACACTTTTTCAGTGGCATAAATAGGAAATCCTTGAAACCCTTCCTTGCGTGGTATTAATATAGGCTCATTCACTTACAGGCCGGAAGTGTAGTCTAGTTCCCCAAAAGTTTGTTGTAGGTAGAATGCACTTGAATAAAAAAATAAATAAACTGCACAATCAAGGTTTCGGTTTTTTTTTTGCTGCGAATCATGTTAAGGAGACAATTAAGAACACTTACATTCTGTGGGAGAGAGGCGTAAGTCATTTTTACCTCTGCATGCGTCATACTAATCTTGCAACAGGATCAGGGACGCTGACCGATCAGTGTTGTAGGAAGGGCTCACTGTCGAAGGAACGATTGCTAGCAACTTGTCAAACGGGATCGAGCCTATCCCGCGCACAGGTGTCTGACTGTTGATCGGGTGTCGATAAATGATCTGCTGGCAACGGAACAAACCGGGTAACCTGACCCGTACAATCGTGTCAAAGAGCTGTCGGCAAATGAACCCCTTCGCAATGCTGTCTGGAGAGAAGATCAGTACAAATTATCCAACCGATATCAAATAAGTTTGGTTGAAATTTTAAAACGTTAACCTAACGGCACCGGCTTAGCCTGGGTGGCCAAATTCGGGAACACACAGCAACCATTTCGAAGTAAGTGATTTGAACACACAACGCAAATTTTTCGACATCGTTTATAACTAAAGGTTGTATGGTGCAGCGGAGGGTGGGGTGGAGCGTTGGGAGGGGGGCAAGGAAGAAGGAAAGAAGAATTATGTAAGACTTGTGGGAAAAATGACACATTTTGTTGAAAGAAACCAGTTCCCAATGAGACTAACGACAGAGTTTCAGTTTGGCCAATACACTGCTTGCTCCATCCACTCCGTATTCGTCCATGTCTCACCTGATCCATGTATAAAGATGATCCCATTTACGCCCCACGGGACACCTTCTACCGCACCCATCACTTCTCTCGCGCCCGCACTTCTTGCCACGCATGTCCACCAACGACCTAACACGCGGCAGGTGCGATCCCGCCCCCCCCCCCCCCCCACACATGTACCGCGTGCGCACCATCCCGCCTGCATCTCCTACCATATCGTCCCACGTGCACCCTGTGTGACGTCATCCCGCACGCTCTCTGCGCCTCGCTCCCTCACCTGCACCCCGCGGGACATCATCCCGTCCGGGTCTCACCTGCACCCCATGTGACACGAGCACGACGGTCTTGTTGCGGAGCGCTCCGCGAACGCACTGGTGGAAGATGTGCTGCCCGACGGAGCTGTCGACGGCACTGAGCGGGTCGTCCATCAGGTAGATGTCGGCGTCGGCGTACACGGCGCGCGCCAGGTTCACTCGCTGCTTCTGACCGCCACTGCCGGGCGGCGCGCCCAGTCACATCAGGCTGGCCTTCAGGGCCGTGCAGTCACGTCAGGCTGACCTCCAGGGCCGCGCAGTCACGTCAGGCTGACCTCCATGGCCGTGCAATCACGTCAGACTGGCCTCCAGGGCCGCGCGCTGTCACGTCAGGCTGTCCTCCAGCGCTACGTACACTAACGTCAGGTTGGCCTCCAGAGCCGCGTGCAGTCATGTCAGGCTGACCTCCAGGGCCGCGGAAGCTAGACTGCGTGATGCCGGGCTTTATCGTGATTGCGGTCGTTACAGCAAATCTGAAGCGTGGACGGCCTTGGAGTTACAATATTCTGATATGTAACCACTCGTATTGCGACATTGGAAACCACGAACAGGCCAATGCAATATTTTTGCCAACAGCGTCACAAGGGTGTCTCACAAAACAAGATAGCCATATCCGATTTTAATTACCACGCACCGTTGCATGCCCAATATTAGCCGTCAGCGGGAAGTAGCTGTGTGATGGCCGGCTCTCGTCCCTGTTTTACGTATATGTCAAACATGTCTCGTCCTTCTGCTGAACTGACGAAATCATTTGACCGAAAAACAATGTCCACCAGAAGACAAAAGTTGAAATGGTGGGAGAGGAACAAAAATAAAGGCCGACGTTCGGCTAAATATGAGAACCAAACGGGGGAAAGGTATCGCTAAACCTAGCTAGACACTGCTTTTCATCCCGGGATGCTGCCTGTATGAACAGGCCACTTGTAAAAATCCAGTTAACTAACCAAAGTTTGACACCCAACTGATAGGGTTAATGCACTTGATCAAAGACTAACGCCATGCCTTACCCGAAGCTGAAGCCACCTTACATGAGGTTGACCACACCTCACACAATGTTGACGCTATAAGCTGAAGTTGACCAGACCCCACCAAAGGCTGACCCGACGAGCTGAAGCTCTCCTGTCCTGAGATTGATTGACACGGAATTTGCGTAGAATTGCCTGGCGGTTGACTGACCGGCGGTTGACAAACAGACCCGACTCAGGCCGGACTCTGGCCCCTGACCTGCCACTGACCTCAGCCGCAGCCGACTCACCTGAGGTTGACGCCGCGATCTCCGATCTCGGACAGGTCGCCGTGCTCCATGAGTGCCAGGTCTGGCCTCAGCGCGCAGACGGTCAGCGTGCGCTGGTACAGATCGGGCAGCATCGGCCGGCCAAACAGAATGTTGTCGCGCAGTGTGCCGCTGAAGATCCAGGCGCGTTGCGGCACCACGGCCATGGTGCCGGCCCGTCGCACGTCGCCGCACAGTACCCGGAGCTGTGGCCACGGCACGGTTGTCAACGGGTCACGTTGCAGGTCCCTGACTTTCTTGCTTAATAGTTTGGGCTAGTTTCTACCCTGAATGAATCAGAGCATTTTGCAAGTCATGTGGAGAGCAACGCTGTACGTCTAAAACTTCGACGTATCCAAAGCGCCAGCTTAATCGCCAGTTTTACGATACCAACCACTTCCACTAACACCCGTAGAATACAACAGCTTCCACACGTACAGGAGGCACCAGCGGCTGTCCATCTTTCAATAAGCCTTAGACGAGGTCACAATCACGTGGTGTGGAAGCGAACTGAAATCCGTCGCCACCAGACACCCCCTTCCCCGTCCCTCCTCCCGCTGCTGCCCCCACCTGGCCAGTCATGGCGACCAGCAGTGAAGTTTTGCCGCTGCCGACCGAGCCGGCCACCCCCAGCAGGCGGCCGGCCGGCACGCTCAGGTTGACGCCGGTCAGCACCACGTCCGTCTGCGTGGCCGCGTCGGCATCCAGGCTGAGCTCGGCGCTGGCTGGCCGGCGGCGCCGCTCGCTAAAGGCGCGCAGCCGGCTCAGCAGCGGCGCCTGAGGCGCGGTCGGCAGCCGCGGCGACGAGATCAGCCGCGGCAGCGACTTGGCGGAGCGAGACCGCTCCTCGCGCTCTGAGGCAGCCGCGGCGACGAGATCAGCCGTGGCGACGAGATCAGCCGCGGCAGCGACTTGGCGGAGCGAGACCGCTCCTCGCGCTCTGAGGCAGCCGTGGCGCGGGTGCATGGGGACGGGTGAATACATACTGGAGTGCGAGAAGTTTGGTGATTAACGTCCATGTTAGGGTCGACAGATGCATTTCGGTGGGCTCTCCCGAGGCGTACATCGTGTGGTAAGCATAATGTAACGATAAAAGAAGTGACACATCTGTGACTTAAACTAATTCTTCTCTGTTCCTGCAATGGGGGCTGATTGGAACCTCTGAAGTAGTAGTAGTAGTTCACGTAGTTTTCGAGTTTTAAAAAATATTGACAGAGTCTTGACCTGTGGCGACTTTTACAAATTGGCATCCAGGGGTACAGTGGTGTTAGCTGTATTTCCACACATGCACGAGTGTATGTTTTGGCATATATTGTAAAACTACATTTGGCGCTTTTCGGATGCTTCCAGAAAGAAAGAAATGTATTTTGTTTTAACTGTAGACACATCCCAGTGCGTAATTGTAGACATTTCAGTACCAACAGCGAATGTAGGAACGGATTTGTCGGTGTTTTTCCCCATGTCCAGAGCATTGGCGGGTCCCTTGAAAGTAAAAATGAATTTCGTTAGGATGTTATTACAAGAAACAAGCGGACAATTACTTTGGAGATAAGCTTCATATTACTGGTGTTCAGCTGGTTATAGTTGTGTGAATGAGTGGCGCACCACACTGATTTGCCCGGAATTGATATGGCTTAGTTTTGCATGCTTCAGAATACTTGATGGTCTCCAGCCGGGCTTTCCAAAAATGCACGGAAATGAGCCTACAAATTGCGCGTGATTATGGCAATGCCCAGAGCATCAATTTCAGCAAATGACCGGGAGTCAAACCCAGGGTATTGTTAAGGATCAAAGGGCCTTAGGGACAAGCCCAATCTCCCCAAATGGCTAAAGAGGGCGACGTCCTTTAAAAGGACACCGCCCTCTTGGTTTCGTCAAACACTAGTTCAAAAATGTTCAGAAGTTCCATTTTTGATTTGAACAGCATATAAGCCATCACCAGCAAAAAATAGTCAGGGAAGTGCATGGTATCTACTTCATCAAATTTTGTAGCATTTTAGCAAAAATATTGGGAGACATAAGCCATTCGCACCTGAATAGTGGTAACATGAATGCAACGCACTCGGGTGGGGCGTCAACAGACACACAGCAATCGAAAAAATTAGCATCGCTAGATCCAACAAATTCATGAGTAAATAGGCCTGTACGTGAGTTCACTTGCGTCAATTTGACAGATCCCTTCTTCACGGCCTTCAGGTCAAATAAAGTCAAACCAGACCAAACCCTAGATCGATGTGCAATGTCTCCAAGCCCTCTCATGTAGGCGTCTATTCTCCTGATACTTGATACCCGCTCCAAGAAATTGGTTTTTAGTGTACATTTCATATGGAAGCTAAAAGATGTCGCTGCGAACGTAAAACTACGAGATTGTTTTATTTTTATTGAAAAAAGCACAAAGGATAACGCTGGGCGTTGTTTCTAAAAACACAACTTTGATCGGGGTCATTTTAGGTCAGTGACTACCCCTGACCTATTAAAAATGCTTCATAAAGCAAGTCCTCTGGTGAGAAAGCTGCTTGGTTTGGCCTCGGTCTGAATTCCA